CACCTGGTTAATTTGTCGAGCTGTCTCGACTGCGGATTGACCCAATTTTAGTTGAAGAAAAATATCGTCCGAAGTTGCTCTTTTGACATGCTTCAAAAAGTCTTGGGAAAAGGGGGTTTATCAAGCAATGGTGAAACGGCAATTATACCATCAGATAGCGCAAAGAATTCTCTTCAGGATGTACTACTGAGACGCAAGGGAGAATGAGTTTTTAATCAGCAATGAATGTACAAAAAATAGTAACACAAAACGCTGAGAACTTTCCGGACAACCTAATAGTAAGTTCTCCGGCTATAAAGCGCTAACATGTGGTCGAGATTAGTTGACCATTTTCATCCTTAGATTGCAGAAGGGTGAAGTTTTGCCCTTTTCGAAGTTCTTTTTCTCAGAATCGCTTTTGAAGCTTCCTAGTACGAGACTAATACATCATTTTGTCAAGGGTTTTTCAGAGCGTTCAAGGCAGGCGAAATGCTCTTCTTCTTAAAAGCATCCTTTCTAGCAATCATTTGCTAGCTACCATTGAAGAGCAATCTGAAAAGAGAGAAATAGGGGGCGTAATAGTGGCGAAGTATTGTATATGTATTAAAGAAAAGGCAGAAAATTCCGAATAAGATTTAATTTCCCCACGGAGTCTCGGGAAACTAACTTCACAATACCCGTTAAAATATTCCTAATATTTTTTCCTTTCCCCAAAATGTGCGTTGATTGCCGCCTTTAGCTCCTCGCGGTCAGAAAAACGCGCACCTCGAAGATCTTTTCTTAGGATGGGGAACAAGAAGTAATCACTAATCATTTCCTCAACTTTCTCTTCATTTTCTCAATTTTTTAATCACTTCATTTTCTCAAGTTGTCGCGTCAGTCATTCTGGTCTTCTTTCACCAAGGATGACTAAATAGCACTGATGATAACTTACTGGAAACTGAAAATTTCAGTCAGCTATCATCAGTGCAATATTTGTATTTATACCCCGTAATACCCTTATACCTATTATATACCCTATTGAAATGGTTCAAATTCCTTGATACTGCTGAATTACCCCGTACCGAGAATTCTTTGAACGGCCCTCGCAGACTGGTCTCAGTGGAAAGAATATCAAGAATATCATGCAGTACAGCTTCGAAAAGACCTCTGTATACCGCTAGCAACTCAACCCCGAAATTCTTAGTCATACTTCCATTTTTGCGCATATTTGAAATGTATTTCTCTAGAGCAGTGTACTTATTGCTAGATGTAAAGCTTAGCCTTCGTACACCTCTCTGTACTTACTCAAATGCGAAGGTCAGCACTTGGATGCTTCGAAGGAACTTATTAGGATGAAGAACTATTGACGCACGCAACTTTTCTTTCGGCAGTGTCCAAGGGTTCCGAGCGTCCGGCCGCGTCAGCGACTAGGAAACTATAGATATCGATCTAGCGTCCTCCGGCGTCAATCAGCGTCCGCCTGCGTCTTCCAGGGTACACCAGTTTTCGAGGGCTAGGGAAGTGTAGGTAGAGATCTAGCGTTCACCAGCGTCTGCCAGCGTTCACCTGCGTCAAGCAGCGTCCGGGAGAGGAGAGTATGGTGCGACAGGAGAGCAGTAGACAGCTTGTGCCCTCCTATCGCACCATACTCTCTACCAGCGACGCTAATGGTCGCTGGTGGACGCTGCCGCAAAGTATGAACGCAGCCTAACCTTTCCGAAGGGAGCGTGAACTGTTGGAATTATTCCGACGTGACAAAATGAGCCATCGCTACTCGTCAACGTTCCACTCGCAAACGACGAAAGGAGATACGTCATCAACTTTGCGGCATGAATAAAGCCCCTCTCACGACCGCCCTCGTCCTTGTTGCACGTTCATCTAGCAGACGGAAGAACTATGCTGAAAAAGTTTTTTCTCACCCATCATATAGCCGTCATTTTGACTTCTCTAGTACCCATTCGTTTCGGACCATGAAAGCTTCTTAGCTCAGGAAATGTTACAAATATCCTTGAGAGCTCCAAACTCTTACTCTCCAACTCAACAGTGAAGTGAGTTCTCTGAAAGGGGCATTCCGGTTTCGTAGAAATGATGGTAAAGAGTAATTAACGGTGGTGAAGATACTTCTGGATTGAGTCGCTTAATTAATGTTTTTCTAACTAGGGTCTTTTTGTGGTCAGAAAAAAATTATCAATATTTCCTCAACTTAACAATAGGATCTTCAATAGTACAGTCATAGTACTTCTTAGCAAAAACCTTGAGCATAATAAACCGTTTATTTCTATTCAAAACCAACATTTCTTCCTTACTTTGAGATAAATAGAAGCAAGAAACTGTCCCGGTCATAGCTCGCTGAGATAGCGCTACCCTTAACTACTTGCTGAACTACATGACAATAAAAACCTTCCACATAACGGTGAACAGATGCATTTTATCTCAAAAAGACATCTTAGTTGTCACTGAGAAACTGCTGTTTCTGAGATGAGGCGGAGTTTGACGACCACGGTTTCCATCCAATTGGAGAGGGACCACCTCCTCCTCCAGCGCGTACTACCTGAACACAAACAAAAAAAGTTTCACTCCAAGAAGTGGAAAAAAAGTTGGAGCCTCTCTCATGGGTACGTAGTTCGAACTTCCTAGGCAGAAAAAGTAATTATTGCTAGGTACTACGTAATCAATTAGTCATAGCTGATTATTACTGGGGACGCAATTAAGAAAAAAGGCGATCCAAGAACAACATTGAAACTCCTACTCATGGAAAGGTCTGAAAAAATGTGGTCAAATCAGAACAACGGCAGGCGGAATTACTTCCCGGCACGACCTTGAGATATCTGTTCAGGGCACTACGGTTTTCGGAATGGGCCCGTTACGAGCCTGTTTGCAGTTTGGGTCTGGGCTCAGAGTAGCCTACAGTAGGCAGGGACCGTTTTAAGGAGCATAGGTAGTGGTGTTGAAGTAAAGAGAAGTTATCAAGTGTTTCGCTGAAAGCAAAATGCCAAATGGAACGTCGGCAACGCTTTTGATGGGGCTCATCTGGCCCCAAACAACAGTGCCAGTCAAAGGCCAAAAGACTGCGCGTTGGGACGAATCGGCTGATTCTTTGAAATGCACCCTATCACCCCATAAGAGACCATGGACATCTAATTCGTGCAACTTCTCTCGTACATCGTTTTTTGGCTGGAAGGCGGACCTCAATGGCGGAGCCGGGAGGCAGTGTCACTGGAAAAAGTGAGGTGCCACTGGATACATTTGCCCTTAACTCCTTTAACTTACGACTTCCGCCGCAAAAGTGGCACAAGGTTTTCCACTGCGGACCACATTACCCTTCCTCCACAATCTTTTGCATTTACATAGGCAATCGCGGACCTTCCTTTGAGAGAGAATGGAACTCCGGAGTTCAAGTTGTCAATTCAAAATTCCACTGGGAAAGTCACTTAGTTTCGAAAGAATTGAATGGCCAACTGCTCCCAGTCCTTTTCCATCCTTGCAACTTCCATATAGCACAGACGTTTTTCCAGTGTCTTCCTAGCATCTCTGCCATTCACTCTTTTCCAATGAGCTTATGAATTCCACGTTTTTAAGCATCTCTACACTATTTATTCATTGCTTATAGGCAACGGTCCCATATGACGTTGCCACGAGCGGAACCACATCACGTAAGCGGAATAGCTGAGAATAAACGTTGACCTATCCACATTTGCGACTGCACAAAATAAAGAAAGCTGTTACCTAGAAGTGCCACGACAGCTTGGCAACAACGGAAGACATATGCACCCCTTACAGGTGCAGCGAAAAGGACAGCACTTGGGCTGACTGACAGCACCAAATAACGTCGACATTATCGACTTGATCAGCTAGCACTCATTTGGTGAATTTTAGTACTTCCACGACAGAGGCCGCTCTCCAGCAGGGCCAACAAAAGTGGTCTGACTTCAGCTAGTCTGCAACCCGTCGCTTAGACAGCATGACACGGCTCCATCCTGTAGGAACATGACTTGGCTCATTGGCTTGCTCCTTCCGAGGCACATTTACCCGGGCAGACTCATACGGTAAGACAGCGTTTAGAGTTCACGGTAACGCGCTGGAATGCGCGACGACGCCCTGTAACGCGCATGTGAGCTCTACAGTTGCGCCCCAATCCCATTTATGTGAACGCTCTAAATACGATGGAAGCCACTTGTATACGATCTCTGTACGAGCTCAGATGAGCAGACATGACTGCTTCCCCCCAACTACCTTTCTTTAGTAGTTTCTTCATACAGCAGCAGCATAACGTGAGTGCACTCATGCGATACCATGTAGCAAAAGAATGATTCAGCTAACTATAAGGCAGCGTTCAGACTTCGCTTCGGTCGCGCGTTCGACACGATCAATGCAGTTGAAAGCATGCGCATCGATCGCGTCGAAAGCGCGACTGAAGCGCTGCCGTCGCGAAGTCTGATAGCTGCCTAACTAACTAACTAAGATAACTCAACTTTTTATTCCTTGTTGGTTTCCGCGACTGAACTCTTGCTATCAGTGATTCCCTCTGCTTCTTTACTTCACTTCTTTTGCTGCTTGCAGTAATCAAATGAACTGCTTGCCACAGCTACTTATAACTTTCTCCCTTGAGCCCTTGATGCACTCCTTTATTTTGACTCCGTCTTTCTTTTTTTGCATTTCAGTGTTTTTTCTTGTTTCTGCTGAGAGGTGCTGAGAGGTACTTACTACGGTTCTGCGCATCAACAGTAGTGCAGCGGTCTATTTGAGCGCAGAAATAAATAAATACAGTCGCGGAAAAAAAACTTTGAACAAGCCCAAGTAGCGCGCTTTTTAGTACCTTTACCATGAAGTTTAAGCTGTTCATGATAATGTTGTTTGCTGAGTACTCTTAAAAAACTCCTCTAAAAAATAGAGTTAGTTAACCGAATCCGTTCAGGGACAGAATTTTGAAGATTACGGCGATGAGGCCTTTTGAGAAAGGAGGGGGGAGGAGGACCTGCGGTGGGGTGAGGGCTGCCAATGTAGGAGTCGACTTTTTATCTTCTTAGACGAGTCTACTACTAATTAGCTTTCCCCGCAGGCACGAAAAACTCGGTTGGTTCAGGCGAGGAGCCGATCCGGGCTTTGAACCCCAGACCACGCTTGTGGTAAGTGGCGCACTTGCCACTACACTATCTCCGCTTAACCAAAATTTAATATTATTGTATTATAACATTATATTCTTAGCTTCTGACCCTAATACTGGTGTATAAGAAGAGATTAGATAGCTTAGAACAGATGAAAATGCCTTTTCAAAGCTTGTTCCAAGTTTTTTCCGCGACTGTAGGTAAGACCTTAGCCTAAAAGAATTATGAAGGCAAAGTAGGTGAGGCATCGCCAAAAGTCGATTTGTTCCCAAGGGGAAAAGGTAATGTACTGGAGTCAGTGTTTCGGGTGCACATGATTTACCATTTTCCGCCTTATCCTTAATTACTGCTCCTTGCTTCAGCTAACAGTAGACAGACATTTAGTACTAGCGGGGGAATTCTGTATAAGTGCAATATTAAGCTTTCAAACATCATTTTGCGCATTGATAAACATCATTTAGAGTTATTCAACCGAACGATAAACAAAAACTCACACCACCCATTCGTCCACGAGGATTTCTCATTGAAACGGCACCTCTGGGAAGAGTAGGGGAACTAGGTGGTGGCGTTTCCTCTCTTGGTCTTCTCGGTGTGCGACGTGGTTCCAGGAACTTCGGCTTATCACTGAACACTTGGATAAATTACAAGGGTTTTTAAACTTAGTATTATAATCATAACAATCTTAACATTTTTACATTTCAGGTGTAATTTTTACTTTTATAGAGTACTCGTAGGGGCAGCTCGGCTGAAAGGATTCATTGTAAGGACACCTTGCGCAAATAGTGACATTACCGTATTGCGAAACCCACTCCTTGCACAAAAATTGCTTCACTCTATAGGGGAATCCCCCTCCCTCTACTAGACTATGAAAAACGCCTTGACCTCTACCACAGCCGTCATAGTTTTGTGGAAGGAGTCCTCTAAATGCTCCCTCTCAGCCGACTCGCTCCAGCTATAGGCTTTTCTAATTAAATGACCAAATCGTAATGAGACGAATGAAATTATCAGCGGCTAGAGACGATGTTTTTTGAAATTACTTAACAGTCTCAGGCACAGACCGAACAGATCTGCGGTCTCGATAGAATGACGCTATTTATAACATTTTCACTTTAAATCACCCTTTTTCAAACCAAATTCACCCCTTTTCAAACCAAATTCACCCTCACTTTTCACATCAATTAACCACACTTATTAGGGCGGGCAACTCATCAACCAGATCACGCCAGACATCACTGCGAGCCCCGCCCCGACGGCCACGCCCACTTGTCAGCGCGGACATAGATTCTCAAATCTTGTTTCATAACTTCTGCTTTTGCTGTTTCCCACAAACACTTTGACTGGAAACGACCGGCATTGACACATGGCCGACTCCGCCCATTCTCTAAAGGGTTTGGCACTCTAGGCTGACCACGCCCACTTGCTTTTCGCGGACTTTCGATATTTTTCAAAATTTTTGCATTTTAGGGCTGCTGCGTGAAGCCCGCCCACTGAAGAAGCTCCGCCCACTTTTCAAAAATGATGCAAATCGGCAGTATAGAGCCTTGGCTTGCATGCTAGGGTCTCGTTCGTCACTCGGAACAAGAAAATCCGGCAAAGTTTATTCCGAATGATCAGCAATACCCCCGATTATAGGGTAATAATGTTGCACTAAATCTGTTTGGGGAAGAAGCTCCCAACCTAGAGGAGCGGTGCATCGAAAATTACAGGAAAATTTGGGAGAAACTCACCCTGTTAAGGGGAGTCGTATCTGGCCTCCAGAGAAACTTCCGGTTGTTGATCTTCCTTCTTCCACTATATATCACCTAGTCGGCGCGTGGCAATGCTATTCCTGATAATTCAGCGGAGGTGTTTGCACCCCCCCCCTAAGCACAGCCCCCCCCCCAGCCAGGAAAATTACAAAAAAATTTGGGAGAAATCAGCAAGATGGTGTTAAGAGGCTCATACCGATATCTTTTTAGCCTTTCTTTCATCACGACTATGTCCCCTAGACTCGGCTTATTAAAGTGCAACGCAGTACCTCAAGCAGGGCACGCTATCGTTGTGATAATCACAGGGGGGGGGGGTCGTATTTGACCGCGAGGGAGCGGGGAGTGTCGTATTTGGCCACTGTTGAGTGAGGGCTGCCAAAGATCTATACAACTACCAGTCCGATGATTGAAACTGACAGTTAAATCCTGACGCCCCCCCCTACCCCGCACGGAAAATTCTTGGAAGAAAAACTGGGGATTTTTTGGGAAAAAATGGAAAAAATGATAGGACGTTAGATCTAAATAGTTGACTGGTAGGTAGCATGGGGAGGGATGGGTCAGTATCTGAGGATAGAATCGTATTTTCAGAAAATGATCACAGAGCGATGGCGTGCCCTACCCTCAAGGCATTAAAGGGGTATCACCGCATGGTTCTCTTGATTAGCACGGGGTCATGTAGATTATATCATCCAACTGGAACTTATTGAACGTTACTTAAAACTTCTTCCCAGCCCTGAAGATAACATTGGACTTGTTGACAGGCACATTTAAGTGACAGTTGTTATAAAAAGGGCAGCTCTGCTTAAAGATTTCTGCAACATTCATTAACTTCGTGCGCTTCAAAAGCAGAAACTGGTACTGAACTTGGGTAATTATTTCATGAAGTAAGTTATTACGGGAGTGAATGACGAATCAGTAAAAAGGGCGTCTCATTTATCTTTGCATTCCTCCACATGACCATTTTTTATTTCCAACAACTTTGTTGACCTTAGGACTTGCTTGATGTGTTTCCATTGTACCAGCGTGTAGAAGTGTCGAAACTGGTGCAATATCGTTTTTTAAACGAAAATGTTTACGAAATTTCACTTACAAGCGTCCAGCAACCCGTAGGGAAAGTAACACCAATACGAAAAACTTGACTCTAATGACCATTAGATGCTCAGATTTTTCACGATCTACGCCAATACAAATCCTTTACAGATATGGTTTGTCTACACATTACCTTGGCTGTATAGTTTGACCCCTTCAACATGTGACATCCGCTTGAGACGCCGTTTAACACATTCCAGGCGAAGGCCATTTCGCCCAGAACTCACGTTCGTTGTTGTTTTTGGCTTATTTTTACGATTTTTTTTCGTACTGATGTGTTAATTGTGTAAATGTATGCTAGTAGAATATAATCAGTCGCAAAAAGAACAAAAAAATATGCGCGTGTTTTCGCAGAACTGTACGAATGACCGAAAAGGGGGTTTCCGCGTGTACTCCCGGGAGTACACGCCGCCTCGAACGTGTTAAACCCGCGTCACAGGCGCCTACGGTCGGCGCCGACATGCAAGAGCACATATCGTTGCAATAAGTCGGGGCGGTGCCACTGTGGATGAAATGAGCTCAGCTGCGAGCTTGCTATCAGTGGATCCCTTCCTAACGAATCGATCACTAAACGATAACAATTGGTAGAGCAAAGCAGCTCAAGGGGCTTATTCCCTCCCTTCCCCTCCCCCCCCCCTGACACGACTGCGACGCTATCAGTCTGTACAAATTGTTTTCGCGCTGAACGAGTTTCATGTTCACGTCCAGTGTCAAACTTCACGACACCAAAATAACCTACCATCGGAAGAATCCTATCAAAACCCGCCCAGGGCTCGTAGGCCTTGATGTCAAAGTCATGAAAAGCTGACAACATTTTAACAAAAAATTGGGCCGAAAATATACTGGCGAGACAAGGCAGCATGGAAAATAATCTGGTAAAATAGGCCCAATGAGAGGACTGTCCAAGAGTACTTAAGCCCTCATGAGCCAGATCCCGAATACTACGAAATAGACTGTTTTTCAGTAGAAACTTGATCACTTACGGTGTACTGGTGCCGTGTGAGGCCAGTGGAGGGGAAGGAATGCGAGTTGCAGCTCGACTTCTCACCTTCACTGGACTAAATCGAAAAATTACATTTTTGTTGAATAGTACAAAGGTACATGGTCTTGAATGCGTTGTTTGAGCACCTTACAGCTCATGAAATGGAATAAGATGAAGGAATTTTGGGCCCTGTCCGCCCAGCTCTTGTATGTCTCGGTAGAGGGGAATGATTTCTTCGAAAATAGTTCATTAAAAACTTCCCTTCTCGGTGGACTCGTTTCCGTTTGACAATTCTGGGTAGATTCATTGATGCTCCTGGGACGATGTGGTGGTGTCTTTGGCTCCACCGGTGGCGAAGGGATTCGCCTTGTCGGCCGATGTGGAGGACTTGCCGGAGGCGATCTATAAGAACGCATAAACTTTAATGCTTGAAGTTTTGCTGGAAACGTGCGAGCATTTTGATTTATCCTGATTCATCTCATTCTGAATGGAGACACCCTCTTGGGAGATTCCACAAACAAACGACAAGGAAATCCGCTAAAAAATAACTCATATGTGTCCGCGCGTAGTGGAAGCCCGAGCTGAGAACCGAGGCTCTACAGTCAATTCAGACTTCCTAGAACAAGCAGGCGGGGGCAAGACTGTTGATTGGTCGGTGATGCCTCGGTCAAATCACGCCGCCGCAGTGGTGCATGTGTAGAAAGATCGCAATCAAGTGATCAGCAAAATGCCTCATCTGGGTCTGCACTCGCATAGCGTCCACAGACGCGTGATTCTTGCACACTTTGTTCGTTTCAGTCTGCGAGACAACAACTTATACAGTGAATCACGCGTATTTGATTTGTTGCATGAAGCGTCGTAGGACGATTCATAAGCTTGTGGCAGAAAATCTTGGCTTGTCAACTTTTCCGTGAGTTCATGAGCTGCGCTGCTTGCCTTGGACAGTAAGCCACGGTGCTCAAAGAGTGCAAGAGTCACTGTGGTCGCTTCACGTCGTCCTTTCGGGCGAAAGTAGTACGTGCTATGCGAATTCAGACCTAGATTTTAAATGCACGAAGGCATTCGGCTGATCACTCCAGTCGCGGGAACTGTTTTCAAGCCGCACTCTGCGGGGTATTATAAGCAGGGTACAGCATCGTTGTCGGAGAGACTTATGGGGGGAGGTCGTATTGGGTAGTTGCTGGTAGAGTATTAGTTGTTGGTAGGGCGTATGGGGCCTTGAGAGAATTCCGTTTTGGGGAAAAAATTTTCCCGGTTGGCAAGTTCTCGCGTGAATTTTCCTGTTTCATGTGTACTATTTACAATCAATATCGCTGCAATTGTCGGGTCGCAATCAGCGGTTCTCACCTGCGGCGTTTCCATCATTGGTTGTTTCCTTCCTAAATCGATCTCTACCCGATCGCCATTGGTAGAGCAAGGGAGCCGAACGCGGACTCGAACCGCGCTGCTCACGCCGCCTCCGACAGTCCGCAATGATGAGGACTGTATATACAGCCCCCTACACAGCAAAATCTTCGGGTGAAAAGCTGAACGCTGGGAAATGGGGAACATGGTAAGTAGGGGCTGGGAAGGGGGTCGTACCTATCCACCATTTCACACATCACGATGCTGTACCCTGTTTATAATAATGGAGTCTTCACAGCGCATTGTGCTTTTGATGCAATGGCACAAAGATTTTTTACTGAGAGGACAAGAATAAAGTGGTTCTAACAAGGAGAAAAATGAGGTGTGGAAACGCAGCAAAGATACAGTCCTCATCATTGCGGACCGGTGGGGCGTGTCAGTGCGGCTGCGTTTGGCGCGGTGCCAAAGTCGTTCTGCACCAGTTGTTGAAGCGGGCAAGTGACATTACTGTATTATATCCTTCGTATTACTCGTTTTCTACCACTTTTTGTCGCATACGCGTTTCAACAAAAAGGCTGAGAACGGCTTCAACAGTGTGCACACTCATACTGGCTGACACGCCCCACCGGTCCGCAACTGTATATTGTCCAATGAGCGCTATCTTCTCCTCCCTGAGTGCTGAAATAGCAGACCTCTTGTCAGACTTATTGGTCCGAGCTACTGAAACATTCACCAAAGTGAAATATCTAGACATTATTCACAACAACGCATATTGCAGTCTTTCGCTGCTGATGATGGGGCGTGTCACTGAGGTTGGGCTTGGCGCGCTATCTTCTTCAGTTCTTCAAGCGAGTTCGTGAAAAACAAACTGGAGCCGTGTCAGAACCAGCCCTTAGGCTGCGTTTATACTTTGCGGCAGCGTAGCGTAGCGCTTCCAGCGTACGCCAGCGGCAGTGCCGGGGAGAGGATGCATATCGATCTAGCGTTCCCAGCGTCACCAGCGTAACGCTAGCGTACGCCAGCGTTTCACCAGCGTTTTGCTAGCGTTTGCAGCGGCAGGGGAGTAGAGACTATGGGAGAGCTGGAGGGTACAAAACACATCGATTGCGCGTCTCTCACTCGCCCTCAGTCTCTACAATACACATCGATTCCGCGTCTCTGACGGCCACATAGTCTCTACATACACATCGATTCCGCGTCTCTGACGGCCACATAGTCTCTACAATACACAACGATTGCGCGTCTCTTACGGCCACATAGTCTCTACTCCCCTGCCGCTGCAAGCAAAACGCTGGTGAAACGCTGGAGAAACGCTGGCGTACGCTAGCGTAACGCTGGGAGCGCTAGATCGATATGATCCTTCCCGGCACTATGTCTTCCTCCCCGGCACTTGCCGCTGGCGTACGCTGGAAGCGCTACGCTACGCTGCCGCAAAGTATAAACGCAGCCTGACACGCCCCATCACCCGCAGCGAACAAAACTGTATACTCCTCTTACCTTATCGGACGAGTGTTAAACGCAGGCCTGGAATCAATGGAAATCGGCCTCTTCCTCGGGATGATCGGTGGTGATTGACTTTTCGGCCGACGAGGTTTCGCATTCTTCTCGAATATTATTGGCACAAAGTCTGGCTTGTCACCTTTCGGGAGCACAGTGTCTTAACAGAACAGTTTGAAAGAAGAATAATGAAAACAATTTTCTGAAGCTCCCTTCAGTAAAAGTACTGTCTATATCGCGGCCATGGGGAAGGCGTGGCTGCGTACTTTACGTGAGCGTGACGGCGGCAGTGTTTCTACCCTGGAAGCCGTCTTCATTTTGGGACATAATTTATTTGTTGAGCACGATACGGAATGACTGGTTATCTCAAATGGGAAGATTGTACAAGAAACGCATTTTTCCCCATGTTCAAATGGCTTACACGGCCACGCCCTACTCCGCTCCGGGATATGGCTGCAGGGCACGCCATTGTTGTGGACTCCACCATCCAGATGGTCCTGTTTGGTCACTGAAGTAGGGGAATACCGTATTTGGTCTGGTTCGGAACTAAGTTTGGAAAATGGATCTCTTTTTTGGCTTTTTTAAATACCCTCTTTCTACCTTACCCACTCCACTCGGTAGTCCGGCAATTTTACTAAATCTGATATTTGT